GTTACATAAGGATCAACTGATTACTTAAAAAACACAAAACACCTATAAAATTAAGTTAATGGACTTACTTGTATCATCTATGCATACTTTATTGTGAAGCATAAACTCCGCCTGATAGAAATTGTCCAAAAATTTTAAGTGAACATTAATTATACATCAGAGAGCTTTGCACTTTTTTGTACAAATGTTGTACAGTGCAAATAAAGGAAACGAAATAATAGAAAGCAGAAGGGATTATCAGCATTGCAAAAGAACAAAACATTGAAGCACAGTAAGGCTTAATATTCATCAGAATGGCAAGGCAGCCAGGCCCAGCAGTCCAGACATTCAATCTCAGCCACTCAGTAGGCTAAGTCAAAATTCAGAAGATCAAGGCCTACCTATGCTACTCTGTGAGTTCAAGGCCAAACTGAGCAACTTAGTGATATCCTATCTGAAAAGAAAAACTATAAATGTATGGCTGGGGCTAGAGCTCAGTGGTAGAATACTGCTACTCGCCAATCATATGTGAAGCCCTAGATTCAATCCTCACCACCCCCCCCCGCCAAGAAAAGAGAAGAATGGAAATCCAGAAAGGAAAAGTCTGTTATACAGAAAGCAGGTGTTCTAGATGAGAAACACTCCATACTTAATATTTCATCTTACCTTAAGTAAAACACACTTATGAGAGACCAGAATTTTTATGAGAGGCATACGTCAAGAATGGTTTTTAAATTGTGATAATTAGGGTTAAAATAATGGTGAAATTACATGAGGGTTTTGGCCTCTATTTTTGAGACATTTACACTTCTGGGTAGTAAAAAATATAAATTAATTTAGAAATTAAACACATAGTTGACCTTACAGGAATGGGATCAATGAAGTAACTTTTCAATGAATCTTCGTAGAAATCCTTATGATATTGGTAGCATTAAATAAGAAATAAAGAGCCAGGCATGGTGGCACACACCTTTAATCCTACCATTTAGGAGGCAGACAGATCTCTGAGATCCAGGCTAACATGGCTTACATAGCTACATAGGGAGTTCTAGGCCACTGGAGGTTACAGAGAAACCCTGTCTCATAAAGTTTTCTTATGCAGCAGATGCTGACTAATATAGAAACTCACAACTGGCCAATTGGCAGAAAACAAGAGGCTACAGAGTGCTCATCCCTGAATAGGACACCTATTTCAAACATCTACTCCCAAAACTCAGGGATCACTGTGAAAGAGGGGCAGAAAGATTATAAGAGACAGAGGTGGTGGATGACGACAAGGAAACAGCTTTTCAGAGAGCTAGTCAGTTACACATATGACCTCACAGCAACCATGACAGCATGCACAAATCAGACAAAATCCCAGCATAAACATGCGGAAGTGGGTAAGAAATCCCAACCCAAACTAAGGAACTTCTGACAACTGATGGCTGCTGGGAGAGGAAGAGACAGACAGGGACAGGGCTCTTGGTAGGCTGACCTGGCTCCAGTGGATGGATGGGCTCTGAGGCACATGTGGGAAAGAAATCAGACTCTATAGGCAGTATTGTATATTTAGTGGAGTATGTTGTATTGGGTGGGGGGAAGTTGGAGGAGTTGTGGATGGGGTAGGAGATCTAAATACCAACAAATTATATTGTATGAAAATTGCAAAAATTCAGTAAAAAATCAGAAACACTAAATAAAACTAAACAACCAAAAAACTGCAAAACATTATAAAGCTCTAAAAAGTAAACATTAATGAGTCACAAACTACAAAATACATACAGCTATACTTATTTTGACAACATGTAAAAATTAACTCATGTCAGCTAGGTACTAATGAAGCAAAAAATGATAGTATACTTTTGCTAACCTTGATAACCTTAGAAGCAGAGGAATAGGTGGTAGAATGTTATATAACTTTTATCATTGAAATGTTTCTTATGAAATGTGAAGGCTGTAATGAAGCACAGAAAATCCCTCATGACAAATACACTAGTAAAATTTTACTTACTATATATTCCAGCTTTGCTGGTCATACACTAGCTACAGAAAGAGAGTCTTAGAAGCATTTTATTTAATTTTCCTTGTTTTAACTAAATAAAAGACATCAAGTGACTGTGAAAGTCTAAGGTAACATAAATGAGACAGAGTAAATTAGATCTCTAAATGAGTCAAACACAAAACAGCATTAGGCCACGTAAGCAATACCTGAAATTCGTGGCTGAGGACTGTGTGTGTGTGTGTGTGTGTGTGTGTGTGTGTGTGTGTGTTGCTAGAGATAAAACACAGAGCTTTGTACACAAAACTGTAAGTTCTACTACTGAATTATATTCTCAAGTTCAAATTTGAAGAGCAGCCTTTAAAGAATCAGTAGAATGGGGCTGAAGCGATGGCTCAGAGGTAAGAACACTGACTGTTTTTGCAGAAGACCCCGGTTCGAATCCCAGCACCCACATGGCAGCTAACAACTGTCCATAACTCCAGTTCCAGGGGATCCCACAGCCTCTTCTGACATCCACAGGCATTGCATGACATGGGTGCACTTACCTACATACAGGCAATACACACACACACATAAAATAAAAATAATATTTTTTAAAAGAATCAATACAACACAGCAGTCTCTACAGTCCTACGCCCTATTTTTTATTTTTATTCAGTTTTGTGTATTGCATAAACAACATCTTAATCATCTTTCTACCCCCTTCCCCATCAGCACCCTCCCATAGCCACTGCACTGGATTTCATGTGTTCTATCATTTATGTTCAGGCCTACCGAGTCAAGCTAGTATCCCCAGAAAATCCTACAGTCTTTTTAAAAATGACAAAAAGTCAATAAAACACAGCCATCAGCATCCTACTGTAATAGGCAATTGAAAATTCTGTATGTGAAAACATCTTAAATAGTGATAAACTTATATGGTGTTCTTACCACTTACATAGTTTTAATGATTCAAACTACAAAGCTTAACAATCAAACACCAAAGTACATAGCTTTGAGTTCACACCATAAACTAAATCAAATTCCTATACATTTTAGGCACTGAAACTGTTAGTATGTAGTGAATCTTATTTGCATCTAGCACATATTTCTCTTATTTGTCTACTATAAAATATATGTACTAATTTTCTATTTAAATTAGAAATGTAAATATGTTATAGTTGTATGTCTGCAACTTGATGTTGGTTACACATATAAATGTACATATATATGTACATTTGTACATATAGACACACTTTTTCTCTGCCCTGTGGTGTAGAGAACAGGTTTCCTTGATAACTAGTGTCAAAAGATAGTAAAGACTCTCTTCACTATTGCCTTTTGTAGTTACTTATGATCCTTATCTTTAATAAAATTGCAAGACAAACATCATTGTTTTAAGTTTACATTTTCTTATATTCAAAATTAAAATATTACTAATATTAACTAAATTACAAATGCCAAAATGACATCACGCCTTTCATCTTGTCAACCTGGTCTGAAAGTGAAGCTTCGTAGTCACTGTCTGCAGCGTTAGTTACAAAGAACATTTCAAAGAATGGTCTCAGACAAACCAAATTTAAATCCCACAGCTAGTTTCTATATGAGATAAATTCACTGATGGACAAGTTTCATAAGACAAAAAGAAATCAAGGCTGATTTTACCTGCAACAACGAAATAAGAAAAGAATGATACTCTTCTTTTTTAAAAAATTTTATTTATTTTATTTAACGTGTATGCGTGTATTGCTTGCATGTAGGTAGGTGCACCCATGTCGTGCAATGCCTGCAGAGGACAGAAGAGACTGACAGATCCCCTGGAATTGGAGTTATGGACAGTTGTTAGCTGCCATATGGGTGCTGGGATTCGAACCTTGGTCTTCTGCAAAAACAGTCAGTGTTCTTAACTGCTGAGCCATCTATCCAGGCCCAAGAATGGTACTCTTATTTACTATTTCACTGGATCTGTACAATACAGAGTAACCTAACAGGAAGCATGGACTATCATAAATCTTGATTCTAATATTTGCTGGTTTTACTCACCTGGGAGCAATCACAATTTCTCCAAACCTCAATAGACAAATCTCTATCATGAATTTAAGACAAAATAAAATACTGTATTTGAAGTTCCTTCTAAATAAAAAATAAGCCTATGAAACTATCTATAGAATTTTCAAGTATAAAATTAAAGGAAATGCAAATGCCTACATTAGTCAGACCTTCCATACAGTCTTAAGAATACTCTTCATAAAAGTCTTTTATAAAAGGCTCAAATGCAATGTCCTAATGGGTAAACAGTCTTAAAACTTCTGAAATACCTTAGGTTTAATCCTTTCTGAAATCTAGGAAATGAATTTTAAATATCTCAAGCTATCTTTATAGAGTTTAATTATTTCTAAAATAGGTCTCCTTCCCATTCTGAAGTTGAAAATAATCTTTTTTAGTTTGATTTGAGAGATTCTGCATTTAAGTATTCCCATTTCTCATATACTAACAAGTAACAATGTCTTCCATTATACTTTACACTAGTGATTCTTATAGTATGTATATCTCAAAAAGTTGTATGGGGGAAAACTACTCCCAGGCCAGGTGGGATGACTAACACCTATAATCTTAGCACTTAGGAGGCTAAAACACAGGATTGTCATTTGTTTCAGGCCAGCCTGGGTACAGAATAACATCCTGTCTCACAAAAATATGGGCTGAGGATGTATCCCTGGAGTGTTTGCCTAATATGTGTAAGGTCAGGGGTTCAATCCCCAACACCACAGAAAAGAAAATACTGAATTTATGCATAAAAACTTCAGATATAAAGTGTGGTGACAAATAACTATAATCCCAGCAATCAATGAGGTACAGTGAGAGTATCAGGAATTCAAGGTCATCTCTGGCTATACAGAGTGTCAAGCCAGCATCAGCTACGTAAGACTAACTTTAAAAAATTACATTTATTACCAACTTACTTGAGTAAGTTTTTACTGATACTTTTTCTCCTTTCCTATTACTCTTTCTTCATATTCTATACACAATGTTAAATAAAATTAACATGAGTACTTACAAAGCAAGATTCTGCATCTCCCTCTTCCATTGGCTCATCAACAATTTTAAGGCCATTCACCTGAAAAACAGTGTTCAAAATGAGTTCAGTGGTATTGAAACCAGAGTAACAATTAAGAAAAATATAACCTTAGGCATTTCCCTTTACAATCTAACAAGATCTGCACTTACTGAAATACCAAGAGAACAAGGGATACATAGAAAGCATTTAGAAAAGAACATTATTAACATATGGTTCACAAATTGCCCTTGCGAGTAGCTAATTTTTTCAGAGCTTTATATTTCATTATACATTTTTAAGGTTTTGCTATGACAGATGACCTTAGACATACAAAAATGTCATTATATATATTTTAAGGTTTTACTATGACACATGATCTTAGACATACCAAAAAAAAAAAGTCATAGACATCTATCTTGGATACATTCAAAGAAAATCAGGAGTAAGAATTTGATATGATTATACTGTTGGGAACTCTCATAGGTTCAGTTTAAACTTCATAAAATACTATACATAAGCATGCACTACAGGAGATTTAAGTGACTGTAAAACGAAACTTTTTTTAACTTAATTTTTTTTAATATGTATGCATATATTGCTTGCATATAGGTAAGTGCACCCGTGTTGTGCAATGCCCACAGAGGACAGAAGAGGCTGCCTGGTTCCCTGGAACTGGAGTTACGGACAGTTGTTAGCTGGTCCCCTGGAACTGAAGTTACGGACAGTTGTTAGCTGCCTTGTGGGTGCTGGGATTCGAACCGGGGTCTTCTGCAAGAACAACCAGTGTTCTTAACCACTGAGCCATCTACCCAGCCACAAAACGAAACTTTTAACATGCAAAGGTTTGTAAATAATTACGTGCATTCTTCAACCAATAATTAAAGAAAAATTAAATCTAGAGAGCTTAGACTAAGAGTCTATAACCTATGGCCCAGAAGCCAAATCAGGTCAGCTGCCTTTTCCTGCATAAACTCTGCTGGAACATAGTCACACTCATTTGTTTCCATATTATCTATGGTGCTTTCACATGCTAACAACACTGCTAAATACCTGTGAAAGAGATCCTATGACTGCAAGGTGTAAAACAGTTACTATTTGTTCTTTTAAAGAAAAAAAGTCTGCCAACCACTACTTTAATATATTTGCAAATTAAGCAACAGCAAGCTGCTTTAAGAAAAAATGAATTATAACAATGGCCATTTGAAGAGTCCACAGCGAAGCAAAAAAAATAAAATAAAATAGATGAATGGGAATGGAGAGATGGGAAGAAGGCAGGGAAGGAAGAAGCAAGGACAAATAAGAGTTCCGGTGAACCCCCAAACAGAATAAGCTCACTAAGCCTACCCCTCCTCCCTTGATTAGAAAGTAAAACTCTTATTCAGAATACTTAAAGAAATCACCTAGGACTCTGAAAACCAAGCAATAACAACAACAGGGAGATCAAAATTTGGAAAACAATCTAATAAGCTCCCAGGGTTTATTTCCCATCTTTTCCCTTGACTTTGACCTATCAGGAGACTGAGTCAAGGACATCTCCATTATAGAGCAAAACAAAACTTCCCAGAGAAATTCTACTTTCTAGACACAGAATCAGAAAAGATGCACCTTTGAGGTAGTTGGCGTAAGGAGAACACACATTTTCTAAATTTATCCACTTTCTCTTTTTAACATCAAGCCAGTCTAAGGCAAGCACTAATCAGGAGGAAGCAGGAAAAGAGATTCCTACAAAGAGAACAGTGTAGGGTAATTCCTTTTTATTCGGTCTCCTTGGCACTAAAACAGGAGCCTCAATAGTACAAAGCTGTGTAAAGATATGACAAACACGGGCTTTTAAAGAAACTTTAATTTTAACCTGAGGAATACAATAAAGGACCCCTAGAAAGGGGATAATTTAGAAGACATTACGAAGAGACAAGAAGGGATCTCCTAATTCTGTGAATGAGCCAAGGGAAAGTCCTGATTTCCACAACAAACTGCTTGCATAGGGACTAACTACAAGAACAACAACAAAAATCACAATAGTCTCTGGAAATTGCTCTGCAATGTTATCCAATACTCAAAACTCAAAACTCAGACTCACCAATAAACTAGTAGGGTGTGTCCTGAATGTTCAAAAACAGAGTGCTGTTGCAAATACTCTGAAAATTAAATTTACCCTGGATCCCTTATACACAGAAGGGAAGACAAAACTTTGGGATCGAAACCAAACAAGGTAGACTGCATGATGAAACTAATTTTAAAAAAAGGTATCAGTTCCAAGACCATTTCAGTGTTTAAATGTCTTTCAAGCATTTTTAAATAGTTATTATAACCGTGCTCTTTTGGATAATAAGCACATCTGAAAGGAATGATAAAAAGTTGTCAACACAGAAATAGAAACTATGAAAAAGAACAAAATACACCAGCTGTGGTAGGCAGCACAGGCCTGTCATCTGCCACTCCCCTCCGGTTCTATGCTCTCCCCTCCCTTCCTCTTCCCTCCCTCCCTCCCTCCCCACAGCTTCTCCTTTCCTTGTAGAAGCTGACAGTAGACTATTTACAAAGACTAAGGAAAAGGTAGGGGGAGGGGGAAAAGTGGATCAACAGCATAAACTGTTCAATGGGAGAAATAAGCTCCAGTGTCCTATGACACAGACAGAAGGGTGAATGCTGTTCCTTAACAATAATTCATGAAGGTGCTGCAGGGATGGCACAGGAGTTAAGACCAATAATTCATTAGGTCTTAGGCTGGGCATGGTGACACACACCTGCAATCTCAGCACTTCAAGGCAGAGGCAGGAGGATCATTATAAGTGCAAGGCCAACCCTGATCTAAATAGCAAGTGCCAGGACAGACAGGAAACATAGTCTCTTAAATAAATAATAAATAAAAATAATTTAAATGTATGGAGAAAGAAGTGGCATAAGTCTAAGGTAATAAATGTACAATTACCCTGAGATGACCTTTAACCCATGTATAGGTGAATCAAATTATCACAATGTAACTTGTAAATACGTACAAATATGTAATAAAAACGTGGAATATTATCAGATGGTCTTAAATCCATATCATTAACATCCTATAAAAGTTACAAAGAAGAATCACACTGAAAAAAAAAATACTTGAAATAAACACAGCTGGGTAGGGCATGGTGGTACATGCCTAAAAGTTCAGTACTCAGGAAGCTTAGAGAGGGGGATGGCAACCATGAGGCCAGCCTGCGCTACATAGTAAGACCCTGACTCAAAAAATAAAATAAAAAAAAAATGAAGCAATAAAGGAAATTCTATCCATACCAAACATGAACAAAGAAGTCTAAGTAGATTAATGACTGCTCAAAACAGGAATAGGAGACTTGGAGGCAACTGCTAATGGGGACTATCTCTTTTGAAGAGATGAAATGTTCTCAAGTTCACGGTGGTACTGTTAACACATATCTGTGCATATAACAACAACATTGGATTAGACATTTTAAAGGAATGAATTAAAAAGTATACAAGATGTATCTCAGGAAAGCGCTCTACTTTTTTCATGGCTAAAATTTTAACAAATTTAGTAACATATCGAATAACTCAGTGACTCTCCAACAGGATGAAATTAAAGTCACCAAGCTATATACTTTTAAAAAGTATCTGGGGAGGGTGCTATTGGAATTAAAATTTTAAAAGTATTTTATTCTTTCAGAATCTCATACAATGTATTTGGATCATATCCAGATATCCTTCCCCCTATATACTTCTAAAAGACATTTTATTACATTTATTCATTTGGGGGTTGGCATAGTAAAATTTATGTGTGGAAGTCAGAGGACAACCTACAGGGCTCAGTTCTCTCCTACCATGTTAAGTCCTGGGGATCAAATTCATTCCATCAGGCTTGGCAGCAAGCACCTTTACCATTGAGTCATTTAGCTAACACACACATATATTTTAATTAAACTGCTCTAAAATAAAATGGGAGAGAATTCATAAAACAGTGAGAAAAAAACATTAAGGGAAAAATTAAATTGAATAAGGAAAAAATTTCTCACGAGAAAGTAGAGTCCAGAAAACAGTGGAAGAACTGCTATCTGATTTAAATGAGACTGTGCTAACAAACATACGCATATACAGATCTGCAATAGCTGTATCAATAACTGTCATAAATTGGAAACAATCTATGTGTCCTACAACCAATCAGTGGATAAACAATAAAACATTACTTATTAACAAAATAGGAAGAGCTTTGACACTTCTAATAGCACAGATGACTCTCAGATGCACTTTGCAAACTCAAAGAAGCCAAATCCTAAGTGCTAATTATTGGGTGGATGGCTCCAAGAATATAATGCTGAAAAAGAAAAACCACAGGGGAAGAACTAGAATCACTGGTTTTCTGAGGCTATCAATGTATAAAAAAAGAATAATAGTAAGGAATAAAAATGATTTACTAATATACTCAATAACTCAGATGAGTTTTAAATACATCATTATAGGTTAAAGCAGCTACATTCAAAAGACTCTGTAATATGTGATTCTAAAAGTTCAAAACTATAAGGGATGGAGAAGACATTAGCCGTAGGCACCAGGGATTACAGCAAAATACAAAGAGGCAACTCATAAGAAATGGGATGGGGAATGATGAATGCTTTGCACCTTGATTGTAGACACGATTATCTAACTCGAGAACCATACATGAAAAAGAAAATAACTTTACTAAAAAA